AGATGCATGGCATGATCTCAATCTTTTTGTACTTGCTGAGAACGGATTTGTGACCTAGTACATGATCTATTCTGGACAATGTTCTACGTGCACTCAAAAAGAAATGTGCATTCTGCTGCTTTAGGATGAAATGTTCTGAATATATCTGTGAACTTCCAGTGTGTCATTCAAAGTTATTGTTTCCTTTTTGAATTTCTGCTTAGGTGATCTGTCCACTGATATAAATGGGGTGATAAAATCCCCTACTCTTATTGTATTATTTTCAATGAGTTCCCTTATGTTTGTTTTTTAATATATTTGATGCCTCCATATTATGCATATAAATACTTCAATTACTAGACCTTACTGTTAGATTGTCCCCTTTGTTATGATATAATGCCCTTCTTCATTTCTTGCAGTCTTTGGTTTAGTCTAGTTTCTCTGACAGAATATTGCTACTCTGGCTTTATTCTGACATCCAGTTACATGGTAAGCATTTCTCCAAATGGAGAAATTCACTTTCAGTGAATGCACAGGTGTCTTCAGGTCTAAACTGAGTTTCTTGTAGGCAGCATTAGATAGGTCTTTTTTTTTTTAATACATCCTGACACTATATGCTGATTGAAGTGTTTAGTCCATTTATATTCAGAGTAATTATTGATAGATATGTATTTAGTGCCATTTTATTTGTTTTGTTGTTGGTTTTGAAGCTTTTTCTCTATTCCTTTCTTGTCTTTGTCACTTTGTTCTTTCCTTTTCACTCAGAGTCCCCTTCAATATTTCATATAGGGCTGGTTTAATAGCTACAAACTCCTTTAGTTTTTGTCTGGGAAACTCTTTTATCTTTCCTTCTATTCTCAATGATACCCTTGCTAGATAGAATATTCTTGGCTGCAGATTTATTCCCATTCAGTACTCTGAATATATCATGTCACTCCCTTCTAGCTTGTCAAATTTATGTTGAAAGATCTGAAGCTAGCCTCGTGGGTCTTCCCTGTAAGTTAGGTCCTTCTTTTTTTCTTGCTCCTTTTAAGACTCTTTTCTTTATCAGTATATTTCATAAAATTTAACTACAGTATGTTGTTGGCCAGCTTTCATTTTTTAAAAAGATTTATCTATTTATTTGAGAGAGAGTGAGGGAGGGAGGGGAAGAGGGAGAGAGAATCTCAAGCAGACTCCCTGTTGAGCACAGAGCCCATCACAGGGCTCAGTCTCACAACCCTGAAATCATGACCTGAGCGGAAATCAAGAGTCCGATGCTTAAGTGACTAAGCCACCCATGCACCCCAGCTTTTGTTGATTTTGATGGGAGTTCTTACTTAGTGCTTCCTGGATCTATGATGTCTGTCTCCTTCTCCAGTTAAGGGAAGTTTTTGTATATTATTTTCTCAAATAAATTTCCTGTCAACTTTTCTCTGTCTTCTTCTCCTAGCACACCTATAACATGAATGTTATTATGTTTGATGGGGGCACTGAGTTCCTTAAGTGTATTCTCATGCTGCAGAATTCTCTCTTTTGTTCAGCTTCAATATGCTTCATTATTTTATCCTGTACATCACTTATTTGTGCCTCTGCATCCTTGTATTCATTACATCATGTCTGTTTTGAATCGCAGTTATCACATTTTTCACTTCTGACTTTTTTTTTACTCTTTTATCTCTGTGGTAAGGGTCTCCCTGGTCTTCCATTATTTTCTCAAGCCAGCAAATATCCTTAACGATTGTGCTTTGAATTCTCCACCAGTCATATTACTTTATACCTGTTCTGCTTAATATCTGGCTGTGTCTTTTATCTTGTTCTTTCATTTGCAAGAAATTCCTCTGCCTTCGGATTTTTGTCTCTGTCTTCTTCTCTGTGTCAGAAAGCCTGTATGTTTCCTGCTCCTGATAGTCATGACTTTCTGAGGAAGAGATCATATAGGTCCAGGGTCTGGTAGTTCAGAATTCAGATTCTCTCTCTGTGTGTGCTATGTGCTCTCTGCTACTGGGTTTTGGCTGCTGTATCCTTCAGGCCTGTCATCTGCAGTCTCTCGTTGCCTGCAGTGGGAAGTATTTGGTCTTTGCCCAAAATGTTTCAACTAGGTGCGCTCTGGTCAGCTTGTTAAATGAGACCTGATACTTCCACTTAAACTGAAGTCATGTAGAACTCTCTGGTCAGGGGCCGTGTTGTGGGCAGGGGTTTTTGCTGCTCCTCTGTGGAAAAGGCCTACAGCACTGGGACTGAGGCAAGCTTCACTGACAAGGGCAGTACTACCAGACTGCATGGGCGCTGGATTTGTAAGGAGGTTAGAGAGCCAATGTGGGTACTCTGCAGCTCACTACAGGTGGCTACTGTTTATGTTGAGGGGTGGGAAAGGAAGTAGCACTAGTCAGTTCTTTTGCTCCTGGACAGGAGTATCTGCCTATGCTGCTTCTCAGGGAGGCACACCTAGAAGAGTGAATAATCTCACCACTGTTTGTTCCTGGTGTTTTTCAGATTGCTGTTTCCACAGTCTGCTTCTGGGTTGTTTGACTCCTCCCCAGAAACAGGGCAATGCCCTCTGGGCAGTATCCCAGGCAAGTCTGCTGACTTTTGAAACTCCAGGCTTCAGAAGGCAGGGCCTTGTGCTGGTGTTCAGGGGTAGGATCTCCCCTTTGCAGAAATTCTTAAGTTGCTAAAATGACAAAAGTCCCATGACACTTAAAAATTGCCCTAATGAATCTAAAGTTCTCAAAGGAGTTAACTAAGGCTCTAAATGAGTTATAATGGCAAGAAAATCTAGCATGATATAAAAGGTCTGTGATGGCTCAACTACTAAGCAACTCCCAGGTTTTGTACCTATATGCATATACAGTGGGCTGCTAAGGGAGCAGAGCTTCCAACAAGGGAATTCTCTCAAATAATCCTCAGAAGTAGCCCAGGAAAACAAGAAAGAAAGAAAATTTCACTGGTAGGCTGAATCTGGGGACTCTTTGGAATGAGTTAACCAATTATGTCAATCCATTGCTCGGGAAGTGAGTCAATGAAAAGATGCTCAAGTAGGTTAACTTTGTTCAGCAGAATGTAGTAAAATTGCTGTTTTTGCTTCCCTTTTTGCGCCTTTCCTGAACTGGTATTTTAAACTACAGTTATTCTGCTTTTTTCATCTAGTACTTTATATGAAGTATGTCAGATATTTCTGTATTTTTCATTTAGCCCATAGAGTGAAATTTACATCCTCACCTGAGGAAAATGGACACCAACCTGCAAACTTAAACCTTAGAGATGGGAGCTATTCCTAGGCAAAACATGTGGGACAGAGATGAATATACCTGTGGCTATAAATGGAAAATGGTACCATGTTCAGCAAAAGCTTCATTTGAAGTGGCTGGAGAAAGGGTGTGTGTGTGTATGGTGGCAACCAAGAGAGAAGATTATTGCTTTGTCTACCAAAAAGAACTCCTTTTCTGTGAGAACCGTATCTTATTCGTTTTTTTTTTTTTAAAGATTTTATTTATTCAAAGAAAGGGAGGTAGAGATAGAGGGAGAAGCAGGCTCCTCATGAAGCAGGGAGCCCAATGTGGAACTCTATCCCAGGGCTCTGGGATCATGACCTGAGCCAAAGGCAGATGCTTAAACAACTGAGCCACCCAGGTGCCCCCTATCTTATTTGTTCTTAAGGGAGCTTTCCTCTTTGCATTTCAACCAAGTGAGAGCTGTCAATTCAGTATTCTATCCCTCAGTCATACAAATCGGAGTTCTGCCCCAGAATATAGTAAATTCAAAATCAGGAAAGAAGGAGAATACTTTTTGTTGACAAAATTGAACACATGCTCTATAATGCTGCTAATAATCCTGTACCCAACAATGTAAAAGAGACCTGTTTCAAAGAGTAAAGGTGACATGCAATGTAACGCAGATACAGAAATGGACAAAATGTCCTGGAAACAATTCATTTCAAGTGTGTCGTTGCCTTTTTCCCTAAGCCAGTCAGACTTGCTGTCACTGGCAACTATAAGAGTCCTGAAATAATTCTCTTAGAGAAAATTAAGTAGTCTAATAGGCTAGTATATAGAGTGTACAAGATGTATGGTAGAGGTACTCCTAAGGAACTTGGAAAAACTAAGAAACGTACTCAGCATCATAAGGCAGTGTCAAAGCCACTTTATTACAATGTTTCTCTTGACTGTAACTCAATAGAATGTGCTAACACATTAAGAAATAGTCCCCAGCCACATAGAAATAGTGGTACTGTCCATCCAAGCACTGCATGTTTGCGTTTGTAGGGAGAAAGGAACACCTTAAAGGTTTAACCTACTAATTTTGAGCATACATTCCAGCTTACCTTAACCTGTTCAAGTATATCAAATGGCTATTTCACTCTCTGCATCGGCTATTCCAAGCACAGAAACACACTTCATTTCTTTTAAATTTCAAATGTCATTACCTGTCAGTAGACAATGTCTCACACTTCACAGAGCCATCAGATGGGACCCCTTTAGTTTTCCAATACTAATTATACCATGCTTAGCTACAACACACCTCCCATCCATGTCTCATAAAGGCCAATCCATTCAAACGTGTGTGTGGACTGAAATTCTTTCCCTTCCTTGTCTGTGGGCTCTTACATTATTGATTATTCTATGTGTTATAAATCCACTCTTCCCCCTTTCCTTCAACCAACCAGAGATATCAACTCCATGAAGACAGGGACCTTGCCAATCCTATTCACTGCTATATTTTTGATGCTGAGCCCATGCTAAGTACTTAGAATTATATTTGTTGAAGGCAAGGGTAAATAAGTGAATAAAAGGTTGGAAATGAATAATCTGTAAGAGGTCTTCCATTTCTGAAGCTTTATAATTTTACTTGGAGAAAAGCAGGTGCCAGAATGGATTTCTGCCTTAGGGTTAGAGGTTTCACCAAACTTCAGTTAATACTTCTCTAGATAAACCTAATATAATATTTCTTCATTTGTGACTTTACTTCAGATAAATTCACTTTAAATTTTGAGCCTCAGGATGAAATAAGTGAAATAGACAATGACAATAAATTGTGCTTACTCTTCTTTCCATCCATATCTGCATGGATTTTCCGAGCCAAGAATCCACTTTTGTACACAGCAGCATTCGGGTCGTGAGGAATGTCTAAGAATGGATTCGTAGTGCTCCCGATACGACTGATGGTCTTTGGATGTGTTCCATTAGCCTTCTCATCAGTACCTTCAGATGGAGATTTTTTTTTCTCTTCATCATCTCTAAAGGGAGAAAACACAGACTGAGCACCTAACACAATATTCAATAACTAAAGTTATTTAATATAATAAACTATCATGTTTTCCAATAGTCTATCAGTCTTGATAACAAAGACTATAGTAACAGCTATCACTTACTATGTGTGTATGTGCCAGGTATCAATGAGTATAACAATTTTCTAAGACTGATATTTGTATTCTATAGGACAGATAAGGAAACAAACTCAGAATAAATACCCAAGGCCACAGATCTAGTAATCAAAGAAATAATGAGGCTATGATGGCAAAACAGCTAAAGCCTTTGCTCTTTCTACCCACTACAGTTTCTTCCTGTCTTGTCCTCTTTCAAAAGAGTGGAGATTCTTTTTTTTTTTTTTTTAAGAGTGGAGATTCTTTGGCAAAGATCGTGATTTGGTTTTGATTTTTGATTTTTACATGGTTTAGAACAGTTCCAAGTATACAGAATACAATCATAGATTATTCATTATATATATTATATAGATTATTATATTCCCCAATTAACCAGGTTATTCTTTTATAGTAAAGCCCCTGGTAAACCTATCAATGAGGTAGGATGGTGATGTTACCCACAGTGCTTTGGCATCTTATAGTGACTACTTTCTCAGCTGCCACGAAAGTGTGGGGCATCTAACAGCCATGAGAAAACCTGTAATTGCCTAGTCTTTTAAAATTCTGTTCCTTCAAGGAGGGAAATTTAACTCTGAGATTCTAATGTACATTAAGTATAAAGAGGCATAAAGTGACTGGTTACACTCAATAAAGAGGAGTGAAGAGAAGAAAATAAACTCTGATATACAGCTGAAGAACACATCACCGAATTAAGAGCATTTGTTTTGGTTCACCTGTTCAATTTCCCAAATCACCTCTGGTTTTATTGCCCATTAGATACTGATTAGTGAATATATTTATTAAAACTTCAAAATAACCACAACTAAAATATATTTAAAATAAACCACAAAATTGATAATTATCAAAAGTGTTTATCTGGTGATCAAATTAAGTCTTTTTTTCTCCAGTGCTATTTGATTATTGTGAGATATAAAAACAACACTGGAATGATCCTTAGATATCTATATTTTGTTTCTATTTTTGAGATAATTCTAGGTTTGTAAAGATAGTACATACATTCCCATCTGCCCATTATCCAGTTCCCCTAATTTTAACTTACATAACCATAGTAAGTATTTCCAAATGAAGAAAGCAATAGTGCAAAATACTATGAGTTAAATTTAAAACTTTATTCAGAAAAATTTGTCCTGCTCCAGGATCTATCCATGATCCCACAGTGTATGTACTTGTTATGATTTCTTAGTTTTCTTCAGTCACCAACAGAACATTTATCTTTCCTTGTCTTTCATGACCTTGATATTTGAAGAGTACTAGTACCAGTAGTACCAGCCAATGATTTTGTAGAGTATCCCTCATTTAGGTTTGTTTGATTAGAGTGAGGTTGTACATTTTGCGGAAGGTTATCAGGGTGATGCATCCTCTCAGTGCATCAGATCAGGGTATATATGTTTTATGACAAGTGATATTAACCTTATGACTTGGTTAAGGTGCTGTCTGGCAAGTTTCTATTCTGTAATGTGATTTTCGTTTGTGAATGTCTTGGGGAAAATTTGTGACTATGACAATACCCTCTTTCTCCTTAAATTTCTCAACACTAATATGAGAACTCATCAGTGGATCTTGCCTATGATAATTTTTATTGTGCTGATCAAATGGTGTTTATTTCCCTCATTTCTTCTACATTAGTAATTGGAATTCTTCTGTAAGTATGGACACATGGATATAATCTTATTCTTTTGATAAAATATTATCATTATTAAATTTGTTGCTCCATTTTTTTTCAGCTTTGGCCCACTGGGAGTTCTATCAAAGAGGTTTCTGTGTCCTTTCAGCATGACTCCTTCTTTTTCCTTTCTGTTTTTTAAGCTCTTCTTTTAGATAACACAAGATGATATTCCAAGCTCATCTTAAATTTTCCCTATTTCAACCCCCAAAGAAATATATCCAAGAAGTCTAGTTTTTCTTGTTGGACAATGGTATTTAAAACCAAATTTAGGTGCTAAATGTGTACACTATGTGTACAAAGTTCCCTCCTGCTGCCCTCTTTTAGTCAATTCCTTTTCCCCACCAATTCTTGAAAATTACTGATGTCCTCCATCACTATAGATTTCCCTTTTTCAAAATAGCATAAAACCGATTTCTTTTACCCAGTAAATTATATTTGATTCATCCATATTGTGTAAATCCATAGTTTGTTTCCTTTTATTGCTCCATATTATTTCATTTTATGCTGGACCATATTTATCCATTTGCCTCTCCACTTTACTGAGGAACTGATTTTTAATACATTTTAAAATTTTTAAAAAAGATTTATTTATTTGAGAGTGAGAGACAGAGATAGCAACAGAGAAGAACAGGAGCCAAGGAGGAGGGGAAAAGCAGGCTCCTCCCTGAGCAGGGAGCCTGACATGGGGTTCAAGCCCAGGACCATGACCTAAGCTGCAGGCAGACACTTCACCAACTGAGACACTCAAGTTTTACTTACTGAGCCACCACAAGTTTTTAGTTGATTTCAGTTAATTAATATATAGTGTAAGAGTTTCATGTGTTAATACAGTGATTAAACACTTCCATATATTACCTGGTGTTCATCACAACAAGCACATTCCCTTGGATCCCATCATCTCTTTAACCTATCTGCCCACCTACCTCCCCCTTCTAGTAACCATCATTTTGTTCTCTACATTCAAATATGTTTCTTGATTTGTGTGTATGTGTGTGTCTCTCTTTTTTGTCCCTTTTCTCAGTTGTTTTATTTCCTAAATTCCACATGTGAGTGAAATCATATGGTATTTGTCTTTTCCTGACTGACTTATTTTGCTCAGCTAATACTGTCTGGTTCTCTCTGCTTTGTTTGCCTCCTTTCTCTTCAGGAGTAGCGCAGTGCCCTCTAGTCTCTAAGTAAGCCAGGCCCGCTGACCTTTAAAACTCCAGGTACTGGGCAGCCCAGGTGGCTCAGTGGTTTAGCACCACCTTCAGTCCAGGGCCTGATCCTGGAGACCCAGGATCCAGTTCCACGTCGGGCTCCCTGCATGGATCCTGCTTCTCCCTCTACCTGTGTCTCTGCCTCTCTCTCTGTTTCTCATGAATAAATAAAAAATCTTAGAAAAAAAAAACAAACAAAAAAACAAACTCCAGGTTCTAAGCTCCTCTGATGGCAAGAAGACATGAAATCCCATCCTTGTTGTTTTCCAAACCAACGGCTTTGGGGAAACATTCTCCTTGTGTGTTCCCCTGTGTGCTCCACTCTCTTTTATCCTTCTCTACAACCACATTTCTCTCCCCTCTGTAGTACCTGGCCTCCATTTCTCCCCTAAATCACATCTCTGAAATTCCTATGTTCTTCAATGTCTTCTCTCCCTTTAGTTGTGGAGCTTTTCTGTCAGTCTTCATGTCAATTTCTGGGTTATTTAGGGTGATTTGACAGTTATCTAGTTTGTGGTCATGGGACGTTAGCCTAGGATTCTCCAACTCTTCTCCCTCTGTAATAACTGATTAATGAAATGTAAGAGATTTATTTATTTATTAATTTATTTTGAATTAATGGTCACTATTGATGTTCAGAAAATATCTTCTGGATATTGCAAAAATCCTGGAAAATTATAATTAGTTATTGTATGGATTACATTTCCTCTACTATGCTGCTTATTAATTTTTTGAGTGTAATTGACAATTTAATGTGAAATTTTTAGAGTACACAGTATGAGGATTTAATATATATATATATATATATATATATATATATATATATATATATATATATTGTGAAAAGAGTCCCCTCATTGGGTTAACATCCATCACCCTACATATTTTATACACTCACACACTTTTTTTTAGATGCTGCGTAATAGTCCATTGTGTGTGTGTGTGTGTGTATATATATATATGTTCTTTACCCACTTATCTGTAGGCACTTAAATTTTTTTTTTCATACTTTGTATATTGTAAGCCATTCTGCTATAAACATGAGAGTTCAGGTTATTCTTTCAGATTATTTTGTTTCCTTTGCCTATATATCCAAAAGTGGGATTACTGGTAGTTCTATTGTTTTGAAAGATTTTATTTATGATAGACAGAGAGCATGTGCACAAAGGGTGGCAGAGGAAAGGGAGAAGCAGACTTCCCACTGAGCAGGGAGCCCAATGCAGGGCTCATTCCAGGACCCTGGGATCATGACCAGAACCAAAGGCAGACACTTAACCAAATGAGCCACCTAGGTGCCCCAGGTAGTTCTAGTTTTAATTTCTTGAGGAGCCTCTATGCTGTTTGCCATAGTGGCTGTACCAGTTAACATTTACACCAACAGGGTGAATGTCTTTTCCCATTTAGTAGGTGGCCTTTTTATTTTGTTAATGGTTTCCTTTGTTGTGTAGAACTTTAAAAAAAGTTTGATGTAGTTCCATTAATTGTTGCTTTTATCCCTAAATCTAAAAATGTATTTATTATCAAGATCAATGTCAAGGAGCTTATTCTTTGTTTTCTTCTAGGAGATTCATTCATGGTTTTAGGTTTCATGTTCAAAGATTTGATCCATTTTGCGTTGATTTTTGTGCAAAGTTGAAGATAGAGGTCCATTTACATTCTTTTTCTTTTTTTTTTTAAAGATTTTATTTATTTATTCATGAGAGACACAGAGAGAGTGAGGCAGAGACATAGGCAGAGGGAGAAGCAGATTCCATGCAGGAAGCCAGATGTGGGACTCAATCCTGAGACTCTGGGGTCATGCCCTGAGCTTTGGCTCAATGCTGAGCCACCCAGGCATCCCATTTGCATTCTATTTCAGGTGTATATTCAGTTATCTAAAACCATCTATTGAAGGGACAATCTTCCCCCTTATATATTCTTGGCTGTCTTGTCAAAAATTAATTGAACAAATCTCTGTGAGTTTATTTCTAGGTTCTCTATTCTCTTCC